CCTGCTGATGTTGCAGGTTTCAGCCCCTGGAGAAGACCCCTCCCTGCGCAGCACTGCGGGGAGCTGCTGCCCAGCTGCCGCGTGCAGAGCCAATCTCGGCGATCTCTGGTGATTTCAGGGTGCGGCAGGTTGGTTCCTTGGAGAGAGGATTGCCACAGAGCGAGGAGCATGAGGAGACGCTTCCTCGCGGTGGGCAGGTCTCCGGCTCCTTTCCTTTGGGGTCGCCAAAGCAGCCAAGGGTCCCTGTGTGCTCAGTCACTGTGGGGCTGCTCCTGGGCTGAGGCCCCCATCACGTCGGCCCAGCAGCGTGATTTATAGCTCCCCGCTGACTTGCAGCACTTCCCCAGGTTACTCTGGCAACACAGAAGGGGTTTGCACCCACACCGAGGTGCCTGCACACCTGTGCTCCCCAGCCACATTTTTCTTTTGTTGGGTAAGCAATGACTTGCAGCGCATTTCACGCAGGCAGCTCAGCTGCTGGCTATTTTATTGAACGCCAGTGCTCGCTGTATGTTATTCAGACAAACTTTATATATGCTACAGACCCTCTCAGCAGCCTGCACCTGGTCCAGGGCAAAGCTGAGCCTCATAGAGAAGAATGTGCTGTAATGCAGCAAGTTATTACAGGATAAATATTTATAAGCCCCTGTAAATATTTGCCATCCGTTCCCTCCTGGGACTAGGGGCAGACGGTCAGAGTTTCAGCAGTGCTGAAGGCATTAGCTGTTGTAGTTCTTTATATGTTATCTCAGCTAGTAAAGCCTTTGTTGATTGTGTTTAGTTATAGCATTTAATGGTGCTAATTTCACACTAACGGGAGACATCGGCTGGAATGCTTGCGTCTTGCGTGCCTTGATCCCGGCCCTGCTGCGGGCTGGCTCTGGGTGTGAGCATCCTCCACAGCCCAGGTGGTGCCGAGCACCGGGCTGGGGCGGCGGAGTGGGTCCCGCAAAAATCTCCCCACGCAGATTCCCGTGTCGCCGGGCGAGGAGGCGTTCCCGGCTGCATCAGTGTTATTGGAACCTTGGAGCTATCCACTGGGAAAACCAGAAAACAAACATGGCAAAACTAACATCCTCCTTGGCAGGCCGGCCCCGGCAGGGGCTATCGGCTCACAGCTGGCCGAGGGGCTGTCTAATTTAAAGCAAATATTCCCTGGGGGGTGTCCAGGAGCTGCCCTGCTGCAGGGGGGGCAGAGCGGGCTCCCCGTGCGGGGACGTGGGGGTGGGCTGCCGCCACCAGCGCTGTCCGTCCCCTCCTCGGCGGCACCGAGGGGCAGCGCAAGCCCTGGCGTGGAGCCGCTGTCGGTGGCTTTTGTGTCACCCCGCTTGGGGCAGGGACGGCGGATGCCTGTGGCCGGCCGGTCTCAGCTCCCCCATCACTGCTGCCTCTGTTGGGGCTGAGACGGGGCGAGCGCAGGCGGTGGGAAACCGGGGAAGAAATGCCAGGGCAGGCAAGGCCATGACTCCTCCATGCCCTCAAACGCAGCAGTAAAACAATGGGCCCTGGGCAACAGCGCTTGCCGGATTGTTGCATGGGACTATTTGGGGGCTCCACTTTGCTGCTCATGCACGAAAGCCAGTCATTTGGCAAAAATCAGCTCAGTTAGCAGGCATTGTTCGTAAAGAGCCCAGGGCTGAATGGGCTCAGGGCTAATATATTCTATTATCCCACGCCTGCCTGTTTCCCCGGGGCGGCGTGGAGGGAAACGTGCATTCCAGTGCCGGGCGGCCAGGGCAGAGCGTGCCCTTGCCGGCCCCGCGACGCTGCCCGGTGGGCGAGGCGGCCGGGGAGGCCAGGAAAGGGCGGGAGGGCACTGCTGCGACCAGGCGAGGTGGGTGTCAACGGCGTGTCAGCCCGGAGCCATCCCGTCGACCGGGCCCCCCCCCGGCGCCGCGGGGGGCCCGCCGCAGGTGGATGTGGAGGAGAGCAGCCGCGGCGAGCAGAGGAAGCTGCGGCGGGGGGCAGAGCGCGTGGTCCCGCAGGCTGCGGGGACGAACAATGGAGCCAGAAATAAGCACGGTTAATTGGGCTGGGCTTTTCAAAGGGTAGGAGAGGACTGGGGACAGCCGAAATTGTGCATGTTGCAAAGCATCTCATTATTCAATAAGAATATGTTAGCCCCTGTGGGAGAGGCAGCAATAAATGGCTATAAAGCAAAGTTAAATGATGACATTAGAGACTATGCAGAGATTTAAGAAGCAGTGGGCTACATAATTATGAATGGAAATGGCTGCACAGGCTTCACTCAGAAAAGTTAATGCCCAGTTTGGAAGGGGTTTGTTGGAAGAGCAGCCCTTCTTGGGCAGCTGCTATTTAAGAGGCCTTATACTGTGTATTAAGCAATTTAGCGGTCTACACCAGAGCTGTTGGCCTTTTTCTTTTTTTTTTCCCTTCTCCTTTTTTTTTTTTTTTTTACAGAAAAGATGGTTTGCCGGGCAATTGTATTTCAGTTTACAATTCACTCTCAGATTCCCATACAGGCGCTGCTGCTGTGAATGTGGGTATCAGCTACAGAGGAGAGAAGGGAGCCAGCAAAGACCTTCCCTGGGCTGAGTTCAAGAACTGTCTGGGCTTTGAGTGTGGATGGGTTTAGCGGCCAAGGCACGCCGTCTTGTAGCCTTCCCACTTGGATCAAGGGCGCTGAACTGCGGCGGGCAGCCCTTCGAGCTCGGCGACGACTGTACAGTGCGTCAGGGTTGCGGCCAGCCCAGTAACCAGTGTGGGATGCTCCAGGTACCTGGTGGCACACTGGAGTGACCACGACAGGACGTTTGCCTTGCTCCACCTGGTATTTGCCGAGCTGGGGATAACCAGAATCCTGACTGCCATTTTATCGCAGTGTTACTGCTGTTGCCTTTGGAGAGCTCCCCAACTTTCGAACAAGAGTTTCCTAAGCCCCCGTCTTGCCTGCCTAGCTGTGATGTTCCTACCGCACTGCGCAGCCTGGCACAGAAAAATGACAGCGCTGCCAAGTAAAACACGCCCGTTGCCACTCTGAAAACGGAGAGGCTCTGAGACTTTCTTAGGATCTTGCCATCGACAATAGAGGGTTACTTGCACAATTTGGTTCTGCGTGCCCCAGCTGAGCAGGGGTCATGTTCCGGACCAGAGACTCGTCCCTGAGGATCTAACGCTTGGGTGCAAATAAAGATTCCTGAGAGGAATTCAGCCCAACAGCCCTCGAGCAGATCGGTGCCCTGTTCTGCCTACCACGCAGGACCACGCTGGGGTATTTCCTACATTCTCAGAACGAGGTGTTTCGGTGTTTCTACACTGATTTTGGTAAAAGCAGATTCTAGGGTGTCAGAATTTCCCAAGGGAGGAGAAGTCCATTTCACAGCTGTTTCTTGGTGCAAATGGTGCTCGGTGCTTTGCTCCCATTTCCTGAGCCCAGGCAGCAGGAGAGGGCCCGCTCCATCCAATTGCCTCTTTCATTCAGCTCCTGGCACCTTACGGCAAAGATTTCTCTTGTTTACTGCTGAATTCTCCACTTCATTAGTGGTGCTAACTGGCTTCTCTCTTCTGTCGGCCCTCAGGTGAAAGTGGCTCTTTCACGCTTCCAGGCTGCAGAGCCTCTTCCATTTACCTCTCAATGAGGTGTGGTTCCTGTATTAAACAGCACAAGCTGTTTAAGCAAAAGGCAGCACAGGAGCTTTGTAAGTCCTGGGAAGGGAGCTCCGGAGAGGTCCCTCGGATGTGGCCGCGTGGGCACGTGGGGGGCAGAGCTGCTTGATGGCCAGATCTTGTGCACGTGGGGACCGAGAAAGCTCCTGCCCGCAGAGCGGCCGTAGGACGGCACGCTTGCCCTGGCCCCCGGGGAGGTTCACAGCCACCTTCCTCGACACGGCCAGCTCCTGGCTTTGGAGGGCAGCAAGTCTTTGCAGGCCCTTGGGAGCGCAGCCGTGCCATGCCAAGCATCTCCCGCTTGTCTCCGAGCGGGATGCGTGGCTGCGGCTGCAAACTGTCGGGCTTGCGGTGGCCTAGCTCCTGCTCCGAGAGGCTGCCGGGAGCAGTCCCTCCAGGGAGCTCCGGCCCCGCGGCAGGCAGCGCTGCTGGTCTGCTTTACCCATGCCCTTTTCTTGCAAGGGGTGGTGAGGAACTGGCACTGCTGCTGGGGGAACAGGGGCTGCTGCTGTTGCACGGCTTCTGCTTCCCTGGCAGGACCGCAGCCAGGTTTCCCAGGTGTGATACCTCTTTAAGAAACAGACCAACTCTTTCTCTCTCCTGGTTTAGTGGTGGGTTTTTTTTTTTTTTTGCAAATACCATAGTTTTTGTTGGAATTTGTCCACAGGGAAATGAGCTCTGCACGGTCCAGTCCAGGTTCTCGGAAACATCTTGCAACCTTGGAAGAGGCGCTCAGGAGCGCCAAGGCCTCCCAGAGCTGCCCTGGCTCCGGCGACCGGGGTGCCCGGCAGCGGCGGGCTCCCCGGCACGGCCCC